TAGAAAAAATAGTGTAAGCACGTGGTGTTTTTGTTAACATATATCTTTATTGCTCTCAGTATCCAATAGTGAAGTTAGGCTGACTTACGTTTCTCGCTGAGAGGAGGAGAGAGCTCAGAAGTAAAAGCACGGAGCAATTTATTCCATAAATATAGCTCTCAATGAATTATCTTCAAACCTTTAAAAAAGGCCTCATTGTGTTCTATATCAAAGGACTTGGAAGCAGTAGAATCACAGCTGTTTATTTCAATGGAATTTATATTAGGCTTGCTTGAAATGATTTGATACATTATTTTTGTTGTACTGTGCTTTTGTAAAGTTAGTTTTAGGGGACACCTAAACAAGACATTTGACTATTTTAGTGCTGACATGAATATCTGTTGAAATGTTCTGTGCTATGGAAGAACTGTAGGGAATTCACACTCCTGCTGCATTGCAGCTGCACAACGTCTCTAGAGCCCGTTTGCCGCAGCAAAGTGTCTTCTAGGCAGCTACAGAGTTGCAAGTTACTGCAGGTAGCCTTTCCAGCATCACACATGTTCAGGCATTTCTGTCTTTGGTTGTTTATAGGAAAGCCAGCCTCATCTGTAGACAGCTCTAATCACTGCTAGCAGTAAAAGAGACTCTTCTGCTGGCCTCCTGCATCTAGCTGCTGATCTTTGCTAGCGTGATTCTATTCTGTGGTGTTTCAGTTAACATTGTAGCCAGTCTTTTACAACCTGCCCTTTGGAGATCTTGATAAAATGCTCGAGACATCAGTGATGCACTTTGGATGCTTAGTATGTTCAGAGGATGTTAGGACTTACTTCCTGTATAGTTTCTTCTGCCTAGACCAATCAGTCCCTGCTGATACTGATTTAAGTGTTACTAAGAAAAATGGACAACTATAGATGCATCAAGCAGTATTGATTACTTGCTAATTACTTGAGATGGAGCAATACTAGTATCAGAGCATTGTCTTGGTGTGTCCAGGGTATCTTTATGTTAGCAGTTATTGCCATATGGTAGGAATGGGTCTATAGAGTAAAATACTCATGGCAAAACACCCTGCTGGTGTTTCGAGAGTTTGATTGTGATACCCTGGTTTGAATCCTCATCAGCATTTGGAGCACCTGGGTGCACTCCTGGAGCACATCTCCCAGTTTAGTTTTATCCTAAAATAATGTAATCTGTGCACTTCAAAACTCTACAATACTCTACAATACAAACAAAGGCCAGCCAGTAGGTAAAACAAGGAGGTTTCACTCAGAAGGAAAGTCCTGATGCAAGCTAGAACACTAATTTAGGCACATTCCTTGTTCCTCAAAGTGTGTGTTTGGGAACGTGTGTGCAAAACTCACTGAAGAACCAAGAATGTTGTTGCATCATTGTTAGTACATTCCCTGAAGGAGGTTCAGTGAAATACTATACACATACCAAAATATTTCTAGTCAACCAATAATAAAAATATTTTCTTGTTTAAAATTAACTTGGTTTAAAATAAAAAGAAGATAAACTGCATTTCGTTTTCTCCAATATTCAGTACAGACTCACAGAATGGTTGAGGTTGGAAGGGACCTCTAGAGATCATCCAGTCCAACCCCCCTGCTCCAGCAGGGACACCCAGAGCACGTGGCACAGGGTGGCATCCAGGCGAGTTTGGATGATCTCCAGATCCAGTACAATCAGACACTTCGTATCCTTCAGATGTAAAATCAGCAGCTAAGACAAATATATCAAAAATAATTCTATGCAGGTTGTATTGTGAAGAGTCTTCATGTCAAAATTAATAATAAAGTTTATTGAAGTCAGTGGAACAAGTCATTGGCTTTGAAGACAGTGGGAGCAAGGTGGGACTTCAAGACACTGTACAAATGAAAGAATAACACAAGTGACCAAGCTCCTCTCATCATGGGAAGCTAAGCAGTTTCCTTTCATCTCAGTGAATAGGTATAATACTTAAGATGATTAATAGAAGGTACATAAGCTCTGTGAGGTGAAAAATACACCCCTTTATTTTTAAATAATATATG